CACTTCCCCTTTATGCTCCAATTTGGCTTCCTCTACTGAGACCTATTTCTGGGCAATTGGGATCAGAAAGCAGCAAGTCTCATTCCTCTCACAGAAGAGGAAGCAGGACTCCCCACCCAAGAGAGAAAATAAAGCCCCAGTGATCAGACAGCCAGTCAAATGAGCTGTCTTCCATGAAGTTGTACAAGGAACCTACAGATGCCCCTCTGAGAGACCAGGACATCTATTCATTATGGTGCAGAGGACCAAATCCAAGGGGGACAATCAGCCACTGACCTCAACTGTAAGCATCGTACTCCCTCCTATGTAGAGAAGCTGCAGGCACTCATAGACTTAATACAATCTATCTTTCAGACATGTAACCCAAATTGAGCAGGCTGTAAACAACTCCTGATGCTATTCAATACTAAAAATCAGAGAGAGTGATTTTTAGTGACATAGGTAGCCGTCTGTTGGTTAGAGGATCATGCACCCATAGGAATAATGAATGTCCAGGCATATATTCAAAATCAGTTCCATGAGACTGATCCAAATGGGGACCCAAGAGATAAACCACACACACATGTGTAAATATCGTATAGTCTCCCTAGTATAAGAACTCCAAAGAAGAAATACAAATAGAAAGATATAATACAAGGAAAGGGAAAGCAGGATCTCAAGGACTAACTAATCAAGAGAGAGAAATGGGATGAGCTAGGAAACATGACAATGTTAAGCCATGCAGTTATATGTAAAAGCTGAGCAAGGCAATGATCCGGAGAATATTCAGAAGATTCTTTAATCTAGGAGTTAATTGGAATGATTCTCACCCTGACTAACTATATATACTGATATCTGTGAACTAAGCTACTGCACTGCAGATGGTAATTTGTAATAGTGGTTTCATATTGGGAGTGCCTGTCATTGTGGTATTCTGAACACGGGCTGCTTGTCATGACATGCCAGTTACTGCTAAGATGTCTCTCGGGTAGGTGGATGTTCAAGAAGAAGGGGGTGGTGAATGAAAGCAAGAGACAGGAAAAGGAATACTGTGGGACAGTCCTGCTTCAAGGTTGTATATGGTGAGATTTTTGGACTTATGTGCAAACATGAGAAGCATAGAATTCTTTATCCTATTGTTAGAATATTATCTAATTTTTAAATGTTCTTTATCATATTATGTAGGGACTTAAGGTTCAACATATCAATACTTGATGAAAAATACCTGTTCCTTATTATGCCTAAGATGTTTGAAACGTAGTGAAATAGTGAGGTTAAGCTTGATAACGTAAATCGTTTGATAATAACAATAAGCTTTTCTTCTGGATGGTTAACAACCTAAGTTTGCAGACCAAAATTAGAGAAAAAGGAGGGATACAAGGAAAGCCAATATTTTGGCCCTACCCTTCTAAGGTCAATTAAGACTCAGGACATATGAGAACTTGTACTGTAACGTCATGTACCTCGGTAGTGTCCCAGATTTTCTGATCAAGAAGGTTATGGGGCCAAAGAGGAAATTGATCGATGACGTGGAGTGTGCCTAAGGAGAGTCACATGAGGAGAAGACACTCTCTCAGGCTTTCACAGAGAGCACATTGGCCAAGCAATGGCCGTGACTCATCCACATGGCTGCACTGACAAAGGTTCTACAATCTGAGGTACAGGATCTCAGGATAAATCCTGAGGGCATTTCACTGACCTTCTCAAACCAAAAAGCTACAACTCTTGTTGCATAGGTTCTGCTTTACCTTGGTCTTAACCATCCAGTAGAAAAGTATGAAGATGAAATATAGGAAGTAAAGCCATGTTGTTATGTTGAGCTGTGGGGGACTCACGTCAATAATTTCTGACATTGCCAATTAAACAGAAGACCCAATGCTATTATGGGCTTCTGTACTCTTTTAGAATATTTTGCTGAGTTTACACACCTATAATATTCAACAACGGAACTTAAAAAAAAATTGGGGTATAACTATGAATGTCCATTTTGTATCTGTGTATTCAAAGTGGTTGGGATAGATATATAGTTGCATTCTCTTAATGAATAGAATGATTTTTTCTAATGGTGTTTGTAAGTAGTATCACAAGTCTGCATCTTGTACAGCAATTAACCACTAAGAAGAATATATGCAGTGTATTATTTGTTGAAAAAAAAAATAAAAGCAATTGATGAAGGTGAAAAAAAAAAAACAAAAAACAAAAAACAAATGGGGACCCAAATGTTAAAGAGGGGATGTGTAATCTACAAACATATCAAGAAGCTCTCCTGGAAGGCTTGAAGACAAAAGGCAAAAAAGCCATAAATATGGGAAAAATTTGAGAGATGTTCCAAAAACCAGTGAAAGCATTAATCAGCTGTATGAGAGACTTCATAAGGCTTTCAGCTCTAATACTCTATTTAAGCCAGAAGCAGCCAGAAATCAATGCATGGTAAATTCAGCTTTCTTACATTAGTCAGAAATTGCAGAAGTTAGAGAGTTTTGCTGGCATGAATGTTACTCAGCTCTTAGAAGTAACCACTAGGGTATATGTTAATCATGAAGATGGATTAACATATACTCAAGAAGCCAAGTGGGAGACTGACAGGAGGCTTAAAAGAAATGCAAATCTGTTGAAGCAGCACTTGGGGAGGTGGGGGGAAAGGTCATCAAGGCATGAGGTTGGGGAGAAATGTTAAAACGTTTCAGCTGAAGAGGTCCAAGCTAGCTCAGAATCAGTGTGTGTGGTGAAAAAGTACATTGGGTGGATGAATGCCCAGAAAAGGATAAAACGATAATGGAGACTGTAAGACCAGAGATCCCACTACCAGAGGATAATTACAGGCAGAACAGGAAACAGACCTAATTGGATGAGCAGGAACTAGGTTATGAGGATTAGAGGAGACCAGGCTCCATCTCCTTAGGTCCCCAGGAGCCCATGGTCACAATGAAAGTAGGGAGCCTTTTGATGGATTTGTGTGGTGGGCAGCAGAATCAAACATTCTGTACTGACACAACACAACTCATTGGGCCATTGTCCAAGAAAAATGTGACAATTGTGGGAGCCACTGGAGTCCAGAAAAGAGGCCATTTTGCCAGATAGGGGGATGAGAAGTCTAATAAGACTTCCTGTATCTTCCAAACTGTCTAGTTCCCTTACTAGGGAGAGACTTGCTCTGAAAGGTACAAGCCCAGACTACCTTTTGTTTTTTAATTTATTTATCTGGTACAGGGTCTTACTACACAGCTCAGACTCGTATTGATCCTCCCATTTTCAGATTCCCCAGTGCTGGGGTTACAGGCAGGTGAGGCAGACTATGTTTGAGCGAGCCACAAGGAAATGTAACTCTAAATCTGTCTTGATGAAAAGCTATGGTGTTAACCCTTATTGTCCCACAAGTGGAAGAGTGGATGGAGATTGTATTGAGACAAGCCACAAAGGCCAGAAATAAGTGATTTACTTAGACTGGCACAAAAGATTCCTGGTATATGAGCTGCAGATAACTCTCAAGGTCTGGCTGTAAATCAAGCATCAGTGATAGTAAAATTAAAACCAGGGGCAACTCCAACTAGAGTTCGCCAATACCCCCTTCACTGTGAAGCCATAAAAGGCATTCAAGGATATTTTAAATGGCTGTTAGATCACAGAATCTTAGCTAGATGCCAGTCCTCCTGCAACGCTGTGCTTCTACCCTTACATAAGCCTGGGACCAATAAATATAGAGCAGTGCAGGCTTTGTGTGCTGTGAATCAGGCTATCAAGACTATTCACCCTCAGTGACAAATCTGTACACACTGATGGGACTCTTCCAGCAAGTGCTGGCTGGTTTACCTATTTAGATTTAAAGGAGGCCCTTTTTTGTCTACCCCTTGCATCAGTTAGTCAGCCCATCTTTCCATTTCAGTGGGAGGATCTTGTTACAGGCATAAACAGCTAACCTGGAGTAGGCTTCCCTAAGGGTTCAAAAACTCCCCTACAACATCCGGAGAGATGCTGGCTACTGACTATAACCCTTGGAGCATAAGAGTAATTTTGTAATCAAGGCACATAAACATGGCTCTATCAGACGCATGTTTATTCTTTAAAAGATTTCTATTGATGAGCTGGGTGTGGTGGTGCATGCCTGTAATCCCAGCATTTGGGAGGCTGATCCAGGAGGATCATTGCAAGTTTAAGACCAACCTGGGCTATAAAGTGAGCTCCCTAGTACTGGCTGAGCTGGCCAGAGTCCAGGAGTAGTGGTGCACACCTGTAATCCCAGCGCTGGGGAGGCTGAAAGCAGGAGGATCACCACGAGTCCAAGCTGCATAATGAGACCCTGCAATAACAAAATACATTAAAAAATTGGAAACTGGTAAACCAATTGTCAAATGTCACATTCTGATTAGTTTGGGACATGGGAACAACAAGTCTGTTCACAGCACCATTCAGCTTATTACTATATAAAGAAGGATCTGGTGGCTGAGTTCCAGGATAAATGTCTAAATTGAAGGAATAATAGGTCTTTGCACCTATAGGAGCATAAATTTATATCCCATAGTTTGACCCATCACCTTTCCATGCATTTTACATTCTTGTGATCACAAGGAGAAATCCATTCTAAGTACAACAGACCTGTGAATGCTTTTAGTTCAGCTAGTGAGGTGTCATAACAAATACATTTTTAGATATGGCTATTAGTGCATACAGATCATTTTACTTGCATTTAAGCCTTTGTGTATTTCACAGCACCTTTAGCATTTTTTTTTTCAACGGGTCAGTCTGCTCTTTAATGGACTGGCAGAGCTGCCTGTACTCCAGACAACACAGGGACAGAGGGGCTCTGGGGCCTGTGCTTCCTAGCAGGACCATATACTACAGTCTGTCTGTGGGACAAAGCCCAAAGGATCAGTCCTACATGGCTACAACGGCCACGCCAACCACTTCCCCAGGCCCCAAAAGAGTGCAAGGGGGTGGATGGGTGCCATCCAGTGGCTGCAGGCAGCATGGAGCCTCTTCTCAAGATGAGCAGGCAGGCAGCCAAGGTGCTACGTCCTTCCTCCGTGGTGCAGGGAGAGGCATGCACCCCTCACATGTTGGTGCTCATACGCGACTGGCTGTTCGCTGGCGTCAGTTCTCCCTGGCTCCCTTCTCTGGGAGGAGACCTCACATGGATCTGGTTGCGCAGCACAGCTGCCCTCAGGATCATGGCCTTGGCCCGTCGCTGGAACTCCTTGCCCATCAGCAGGGACTTCTCAAAGGTGGTGCTGCGCTGATCTACATCCCTTGCATACAGGATCTTGCTATGTGAGTCAATGCAAGCGTTAATGAGTCCCTCCAGGATGAGCTGTGTCAGCTCATCCTCCAGGGCTGCCACAGTGGTATTGAAAGCTGTGGCCATCTTGTGCTTGTCCGCCGAAACGTAGGGACTGAAATACTGGATGAGAGCATGATTGCGAATCTGGGTATACAGGGTCCAGACGTGAGGAGCCAGGTACATGTCCAAGAGCAGATTGTCCTTCATCTCATCCAGCATCTTCAGGCACGATGCATACTTGGACTCATAGAATTTGAAGATGATGTCTTGGACCTGTGGCTCCAGCTCCAGGAATAACTTGAAGGAACTGCTGGAGATGACATTGCGCTGCAGCTCCTGCCGGTCAAAGGTGGCCAAAGCACACAAACCACCATAGATGGCCACATTACTGGGGGAAAGCAGCTCAGGGAAATCACAGTGATCAAATGAGGCCAGCAGGAAGCACTTGGCAGCCTGCTTATACTTGCGCACAGCCAGCTCAGCCAAGCCTGCAGCACACTTCAGTTTGGTGAGGATAGCTTGGGTCTGGCTGTCCTGTTCTCCGCGCTGCTCAGCAATCTCTGGGGTTGACTCAGCCTTACTGACATAGCTCAGCACATGAGACCAATTTTGCAAGTAGACACTGACCTTGATGACATTGAGGCACATGCTGATGACATGTTTGGCACTAGTGCAATAGTCTCGGGCCCGAGAGTAACACTTGAGGGCATTGCTGAGGTCTCCACAGTCTAGGTAGTGGTCACCCAGGTCATCATGGCTGCGCCGGATGCTCTCCTTGATGGAGTTGCCCTTATAGTTTTTTAGATCTGTGTCCAGCTTCTCCAGCTTCAGCAGGGCCTTCTTCCGAGTGGCCTCAACCCAGGCCGTGTCCAGGGGTGGGGGCTCTATACCACTCTCAGGGATGGCATCTGGTGCGCTTTGCAGCTCCCAGGTGGCCTCTGAGAGCTTGCGGTGGATCTCCTCATACATATCCACATTGAAGGTCCTCTGCACAAAGGAGAGAGCCATCTTCAGGGCCTCCACCCGCAGTGGTGGGCAGTGGTCAGCAATGAACTGTAGCCGCTCAATGCGCATCAGACCACTGTAGCTGGCCACATACTGCTCTAGATCCAGAGTGGGGTTCTCCACCACATAGTTGACATCAGGTGCATTCTGGGAATCCTCCTGTGGGTCTACATCAATCTGCATGGGCTCTACAGTCCCCTGCAGGTTAAACACCTGAACCGGCAGCGGCATCTTGCACCTTAGCATTTTGTATGTTACAATTGCTAACATTGAAGAACAGTGCTGGTGTTCTGTGCAATACATCGCATCCCTGTCAGTACCTTCACTAAATAAATAAATAATAAACAAACAAGAAGAAGTAGGTAATTTGATTATGCCTATATGTAGTAAAGAAATTGTTAATGACTTTCAGTGCATAAAGAGCCAGGCCAAGATTTGTCAGCTGTTGAACTATACCAATCATTTAAAGAAGAAATTTTACCAGTTCTTTAAAGTCTCATCCAGAAGGCAGAAGCAGAAGGAAAACTTCCTAATGCATTCTATGAAATCAACATTATCCTAGTACCAGAACCAAAGATATTCCAAGAAAACAATATAGCAAATATGTCTCATGAATAAACATCTAAAACCCTTCAATAAGATACTAGCAAATTGAATAAAAATATATACAAAAAAAGAGAATTATGCACTATGACCAGTAGCACTTATCCAGGTATACAGAATTAACTCAGAATTGGGAAGTCAATTAATACCATCATATAACAGGCTAGAGAAGAAAAAGCTGATTAAGAGATTCAATAGATTCCGAAAAAGGATTTGACAAAATCCAGCTATTATTGATTTCAAACAAAGCAACAACAAAAAATCAGATCATCTCAGTAAACTAGAAATAGATAGGACTGTCCTACATTTGATAAATATCTATGAAAAGCAATTGACATCATAATTAGTGGTGAGAAAGGTAAGTTTTCCTTTCTTGATCAGGGACAGGCTGAGGATATCCCATCTTGCCACTTCTTTTCAACATTGCACTAACTACAAACCTGTGAATCTGGACAAGATTTCTGTTTCTGAAATATATGGTGGGGCAGGTAGAGGACAGATATTCTCATTCCAAGAAGGAGAAAATGTAAAGAGGTAATATGGGATGGATTCCATGGGTTCAAAACCTAACAGGATAAATCCTATTTTAAAGTTTCTGAAACTTTATTCTGAAAGTATGAACCAAAATCAAAGTTTCTCCCTTTAAACTGGTTTTCTCCATACCATAGGTCCAGGCCAGATGTGGTGGCACAGGCCTCTAATCCCAGCTATCAGGGACATACTTGCAAGTGATTCTGAGGTCAGTAGAACTCCCAGGAAAATCTCAGAGTGCAGGGGTGAGATTGCCTCCTCAGTGTCAGAAGGGAAGGCGACCCTCATTTCAGTGGGCCAGGTGGCCACTCCCTAGGCCCCCCCATTTAGAGTGCTACTCAGGGCTCCAGGCCACAGATGTCACCTGGGCTGAGGGCATGATGCTCCCTTCCAAAGCATGGGGACTGGGGGACTTCCACCTCAGTGGACCTGGAGTACAGGGCATCAAAGATTATTTGCAAACTTTAAAATTGAATAGGATTTATCCTGTTAGGTTTTGAACCCATGGAATTCATCCCATATTACCTCTTTACATTTTCTCCTTCTTGGAATGAGAATATCTGCTCTCTACCTGCCCCACCATATATTTTGGAAACAGAAATCTTGTCCAGATTCACAGGTTTGTAGTTAGAAAGTAATTCTGAAAGTATGAACCAAAATCAAATTTTCTCCTTTTAAACTGGTTTTCTCAGGTATTTTGCTGCAGTGATGGAATCAAAACTCAAATCTTTGATTCTACTCTCAGAGGAATCACAGTTGAACTGCAGTTAAACTAGATCTCAGAGGGAAATGCACAGCATGCCAGCAAATCAGTCGGCCTGCAGTTCAGGCCTGTATAGAGCACACAGTGAATTAGCAGAACAGCTAAGTAACTAGTGTGAGATTTCAGAAGTGGAACACATAACACTTGGATCACACTCCTTACACATGTGACAAAGGCAAGAAAAGGTTCAAACTACCTCATACCCCAGCAAACAGTGCACATGTGCAGATGAAAAGGAAATAAAAGAAATCCCAACAGGATGGAAATCTGGGGTAGACCTGAAAGTAACCTTACATTAGACAGTACTTTCCACCCCCATCCCCATATCTGTCAGAAGAAAGTAGAAGTTTCTTTAGCTCTGAGTACGATATGAGTAACCTTTACCTGAATACTAAACTCTGCAGGCACAGATACAAAATCTGGAAAGCCAGGTATCTTTATTATAGACGTCTAAGTTATACCTAAAAAATATTAAAAGTAGTCAGACAGGTTTAAGCCCGTGAAGGAGCCAGTGCGGAAGATAAAAACACATTAGTACTCTGCCCAGAGGTCAGGCCTCAAGATGACGACAGAATGAATATACCTACATACCTCCCCAAGGGGACAGACAATAATGATGTGTATGCTAAATAGGTATCACCTGGCTGGGTGACCAGGACCTTCTGACCCATCCCGTCCATAAAGGTCTGTGTTCTTGCCATGGGCACCTGCTGAGTGACTGACTTCTCCACTGGATCAATATCGCCTAAGTGACTATAACTTATAATTGAAAAATGAATTCTGAGGAATAACAGAGATTAAGAGTAGGGTATTTTGGCCAGGGAGATGGCTCAGTGGAATATGCGCTTCCCTGGCAAGCGCAAGGGCCTGAGTTCAATCCCTGGTTCCGAAAAAAAAAAAAAAAAGAGTAGGGTATTTTATTTAGGGAGAGACAGCTCCTGAAAGAGAGAGAGGAGGAGAGCTGGAAAGTAGGTTGCCACGGATTCCACTCTGCAGAGAGGTTTTATAGAACAAAATCATGAGGTGAGTACAGTGTGGGGCAAAACTATGATCAACCAATAAGATCACAGGAAGTCACTTAGGTAATATTGATCCAATGAGGAAGCAAGTCATGCAGTAAGTGTACTTGGAAACAACAAAGACCTTTTTGGGAAGGGATAGGTCAGGAGGTTTGTCACCCACCCAGGTAACTGATGCTTATTTAGAATCTGGATCATGGTTGTTTATCCCTCAGGAAGGTAGGTGTAGTCATTTCATCTTTATCTTGAGGTCTGGCCTTAAATGAATGTGCCTCCAGCCACGGTTGCAATATGTTATCTTCTGCTCTGGCTCCTTGCAGTCTGACTGCATATAATATTTCTACCTAACTCAGCTATCTATAATATTCTCAGATAAACAACAAATTAGAAAATTTATCAAAAGTAGACCTTCCTTGAAAGAATGTTAAATATTCTATGAGTAGAAGAAAAATGATACAGGTCTTCAATGTGGGTCTACTGGTGCTAATATATTTTTGAAAGAAATATCATTGATATATTAAGATACGAGAGAAATTATAATCAGATAAAATAGCAACTAAAAGCGGAGCGGGGGGGGGCTGCCCATTAGCTCAGTTCTTTGAGTGGCTGCTTCAACAAAGCAGTCAGGCTCAGGTTGCTGTGGTTCGAGCCCCACAACTCAAGCCAGCCAAACCTGCCCTGAAGGCATTCGGAGAAAAAAAAAAAAAATCCTAAAACAGAGCAGGAAAGAGTGAAAGGAGGGGGCCGGGGAGATGGCTCAGTAGAATAAGCACTTCCCTGGCAAGCACAAGGGCCTGAGTTCAATCCCCAGTTCTGCAAAAAAACAAAAAAAAAAAAAAGGGGGGGGGCTGGTGAGATGGCTCAGTGGTCTAAAGCACCTACTTAGAACAAGCTCAGCAAAGCACAGGGACCGCGGTTCAATCCCCCAGCACCACATGCCAGCCCACCCCACCCCCTGGTGGGCTGAGCTGGCCACACACACACACACACACAAATAAATAAAATTTTAAAAAAAAAAAAGAGTGAAAGGTAATAAAAGACACAAAGAACAATGCCGATTACTGGAAAAAGAAATACAGATATTCATGTATCTGTGTCAATAATTGCTTTAAATGTGAATGGTCTCAATGCATCAACTAAAAAAAGACTGCCAGGGTATCTTAAAAACAAAAAGCTGGGTGTGGTGGCACATGCCTGTAATACCAGCATTTGGGAGGCTGAGGCAGGAGGATCACTGAAGTTCAAGACCAGCCTGGACTACAAAGTGAGCTCAAGGCCAGCCTGAACTGCATAGGGAGACCTTGTCTTAAAAAGGCAAAATAATTACAGACGATTGTATCTGTTTATTCAAAGTGGTTTTGGGCTGGGGAGATGGCTCAGTAGAATAAGTGCTTCCCTGGCAAGTGCAAGCAAGGTTCTGAGTTCAATCCCCAGTTCCACCAAAAAGAATCAATCACTGTATTCAAAGTGGTTTCAATAGACATATAGTTACATTCTCTTAATGAATAGAATGATTCTTGTACAGCAACTGACCACTAGGAAGAATGTATGCAGTGTGTTAATTATTGAAACTGTCC